GAGAAGAGCTTGGCACAGCCCAAACTCCAGTTGGCAGCTGCAGCCTGCCTGCCCTGCCCTGCCCCACGTGGAACTGGGGAGCACATGCCCGCATCCCCCGGATGAGCCGCAGCTCTGTCCCGTTCTCCGCCCCGCCTGGGCAGTACCTACCCTAGCCCCAGCCCTAGCCCCGCTCCCTCCCTTACCACAGGGGTCATTGATCTGCCTCCCCACACTCCTTCCCTCCCTCATGCCCTTCCACCATGATGGACTTACCAGCTGAATGCAGGTCTCCAGAATGCCAGGCCATGCTCCTCACTGCCTGCATGCTGCACTGCAGTTGCACGTGCACACGGGCATTTATTGGCCAAATTATTAGCCGCATCAAGCCAATTTCCAATACAGCCAGTTTTGTTTATATCAGTGCCAATCCGATATCAGACCGATCTATTGGTGCACCTCTACCTTCAATAACAATTATGTTCGAGTAAGCAGGCTAATGTAGTGGCACTGGATGTGAGCCCACTGTATGGTCGTTTTGTCTTACTTTCTGTATACATAGGTTTCTTCTAAAATTCTAGTTCCTTGCAGTAGATTAGCAGCCAATCCAGAGATACTAGGACAATCTGGAATCCTGCATTGTAGCTTGCAAGCATGAATTGTCTTTTTTGGAATGAGTACAGTAACTTGGGACACCTTCTGGTCATCTGCCTCCAGTTTTCTCACATCTGAGATAAGGCAGCTTAATTTCTTGGAGGAAGTACTTAAATTCCATTGGCTTTTTTGAAGCAGGGATTGTGGAAAGAAAAATGAAATGAAATAACTGGGTTGCATGTAAAGTGAGCATCTTTCAAACAGCTACTGTTTTCAAGCAATGCAGGTGTGCTTCCTTGCCATTTTAATTTGTAGATATAGATCAAACTTTGTTAGTCACTGAGAGTTGTTTAACTCTTGAAGGAAGGAGTGGATGTCGCAGTCAGAGGAGCAGCCCTGATCCTGTCAACACCCCTGTCCCAATCCATGTAAGAAAAATGGAAACCTAAGTTTCTTCATGTCCTTGGGCGGATGTCTGCTTTCTTGCTGATATTTTGGTTTGGTAAGATGTTGCCATTCCTTAGTAAGTTTAAGCAAATATAGAAAGCTGGTGGCCTTGGTTAGTATTTTTATTGGACTAGAAGAAACAACAGATGTGTCCAGGAGTGTTCTCTTTCACCTCTCTCCCCCTTTTCACTCCCAAATATCCTCAGCGCTTGGACAGGGGCTATCAGCAGCATCCTGTGTACAGCACCAAAGAATCCTTTCCTTGGTCCCTTCCCTCAGCAGTGTGAAGCAAAACCTCTTTTCCAGTGCTTTCTGCTGCTGACTGGGGCTTCCCAAAGCAATAAGTAAATTAAAGTAGATGTCATTCTGGTTAGTAACACTGTTTTCTGGAGGGTTTTAAACAACAGCAGAGAAAACCTTATGACTTTTCACTCTGCTGTACTTAGAGTTGTGTTTCTACAGGCTGCCACGCTCCAGAAACCATTTGGTTACAAGTTCTTCAGAACTTGAAGGCATTAGTTTCTCTTCCCCTCCCCAGTTGGAGTGGAAAATTCCTACTCACCAGGCACAAAAGAGTGAATTTTTGAGCCCTGTAGTGTTGTAGTCTGTCGTCCATATGTTTGCATGTCACTTCCTTTTATTAGTTTTAAGCCTAGCTTCTGAAATCGTTGAGATAGTTGCAAACAAACAAATGTGAATTGTTTTTTAGGTGTTCTGTGGAACTCCTTGTATTTTTTCCAAGTGTCTCCTCCTTAAGGTTTTCACCTCTCTTGTCTTCCAGGGTTCTAAAACTGATATCCTATTGCATGTTATTTAGTTTGTATTATTTGTACTAGACACTTAAGCAACCAGTTACTACCGCCTTTGAGGAAGACTTATTTAAACTGATACCAGAAGTTAGTTTGCACTTTCCAAATCCTCCAACGCTTTGATCTGTGCCTATAAAGAGTAATAACTTTTTTGATCGGCTATTAATAATTAATATAATATTTTACTAGGTTCCTTGCAAGTTGCCTCGTTAAAGGAACGTTCACTGTGTCCAGAGTAATAAGTAATAGTTGCATATAACTTCACCCCAAAATGTCTTCCAAATTATTTTAGAGCATCATTTCACTCGCTGCTAAAATGCTGTTTTCTCAGGGGTGATGCAACAGCTGTTATTACCAGCAACACTTTTTCGTATTGTTAATAATAGATGTTATGAAAAGGAATTAACATTGGAAATAAGAATTACTGCAATTGCAGCTTGTGGACATATGCCAGTTAGCTTTAAACCAACTATTTCACAGTGTAGCTGAATGAGTATATAAAATAGCGGGGGCTGGTGAAACCCACTGGAGAGGCTGTGTTAATATGTTAATATTCCAGCTGTTAACCTATACTTGGGTTCATTTTGCTGTCACTATGCTGCCAGCACTACTGCTACCACGTGAGCTGGCTGCCTTAAAGCTAGTACAATTACATATACTTTAGTCACAGCCTTGACTGCATTGTCGATGTAACCTTGGAATTTCCCAGGATACCAGGAAAAACATGCGTCTTGCCAAAAAAAAAAAAAATGTGTAACCCCACAGATGGTCAGAGTCTTAGTTCATGTTTTCAGGATTACCAGATTTGCTCCCTAGAGCCAAAGTGATGATGGTTGAACTTAAAAGGTTAAGTCATAGAATCATAGGGCTGAAAAGGACCCTGAAGGATCATCGGGTCCAGCCCCCTGCATGAGCAGGAAAGACATCTAGGGTCAGGTGACCCCAGCCAGGTGACTGTCCAGTCTTCTCTTGAAGACCTCTAGGGTAGATGAATGCACCACCTCTGGGGGGAGCTTGTTCCATAGTCTGGACACCCTAGTTGTAAAGAAGTTTCTCCTAACGTTCAGCCTGAAGCTATCTTCCAGGAGTTTGCGGCTGTTGTTACGAGTTTTCCCCCAGGGCGCCCTGGTGAAGTTGTTCACGGAGCCCCTGATATACGCCTCTGATATAGCAGTAAGCTGCAATCAGGTTCCCTCTCAGCCTTCTTTTCTTTATGATGAAGAGTTCAAAATCCCTCAGGCTCTCCTCATATAGCTTGCTGTGCAAGTCCCTGGTCATGCGGGTGGCCCTTCTCTGGGCCCTCTCAAGCTTCAGTCACGAGGACTGAAACCATAATGCACCACATACTGGTGAACAGTGGTGTGCTCGCACAGTTCCAGTGGAAGCAGTTGGGCCCCATGTGGGCATAAGTGTCTGTCTGAAATGTGAAACAGGATCAGGACTCTGGACAAGACTAACATAGAGAGTTTTTTTGTTTTGTTTTTTTGCATTATTTGTAAATACTGACTCCTTAGTTTAGGAGCTCTGAACAGATAATGCAGCTACAGAATCCAACTGGTCAAAAACTGTTCTTGTGTCAAGGTTTGAAAATTCCTTTCCAAGAACTTACAGAGCTTTTTTTTAGGCAAATGAGCATAGACACAGACCTCACTTGAATGCTTATGGTAGATGGTACAAACTAGTCTTGCAGCACTTATTTCCATTTTTAGTATTTTGTAATTTCCAGGTTAATTTTTAAATCAGATATTTTAATATTTGCATTCTTTTCCTTGCAGGCCAGCAAACAAGTTAGAAATATGGGAGGATTTGAAGATAATAAGTAAGTCAAAATCAAAGATCACCTACTTGATAAAAATATATGGCTGGAAGGGGCGTCCTGGGCAATGAGGCCCAGACCCTTGCCCTTGAAGACAATCATTTGCCCAAGGCATCCCCAAAATCTCCAATTCATTCATACTAAGCGTAAATGCACCTCCTTTGCCTTCTCTTCCTTGTGAAATATATTTATTGTTGCTGTTGCTTTTGGGAATGGAGCTAATGTGATGACTGCTGCTGCATAATGTTGCAAGGCAGAAGATCCTACCAAAGGGGGCTACTGATGAGAATTTTGTATGCCTTTTGAAAAGTGTAATAAGATCACAAGCCAAGCTGTAGGACCTCACTGACTCTTGAAAGGCTGTAAGGTTGTAGATACCTCTTCTCAGGTTTTACCGAATGAAGTAATACTAATGTCCAGCAACATCTTTCTGAACCTTTAGTAAAAACCAAGGTTTGGGGGAACCAGCTGAAAAGAGAAATTACATTATTGCCTCTAAACCATTGGCTAGTCCTATATTTTATTTGCATCATTGTAATAAATAGTTATACCAAAGGAATCCCTGGTTCATTATTTTATATGGTGGCCAGGGAAAGGGAAAGATGCAGTGAACCACAGCTAAGTGGTTGTGTAGTGAAATACCATTGGGCTAAATACCCCACACCCCCCTGCTACCATATCTTGTCCTGCTTAGCTCTTTTCTTCTTCTTCCATTTCTGGTTTATTCCTCTCTTCTGCAACTCCCTTATGTATGTTCTTTAATTCCCTGGTTGTCTTCTATGCCTATGCTGTATTTTGACTTTCATGCAAACACACTCTTGGTTGCCTCACACCCTTCCTTTCAGTCATTCTCTCTTGCTAGTGGCTGGCATCTCCAATGCCAGTACCGGCTTCTGTTTCCTTTCTTTAGGTGTCAGCAGCTTCCACCATAGTAGTTAGCAAGCTTCTTGTTTCCATGCTGCTTTCATGCATTTTTTTACCTTAATTGTATAATAAGGTCTGTTGAAATGTAACACATGAAGGCATCTGTTTCCATGGTTTAATGAAAAATGAAGTTCCCTTTTCAAACCCAAATGGATGGGTTTTGGAATTGGCTTTAAGTACACTGTGCACAACATTTTTTGCAAAATTATTTCAATATAGTATAGTTTGGCATGTTTCTTCATAGTACACAAGTACAGAGTTGTTGCCAATTTTACCTTTCATTACTGTACATATCTTAGATATGTTGACCATCTTCATTGTGAAATATATTTGCTATGGGGCCATAATACATTTTTTGAGAATATTGGTGTCATGACAAAAATAATAAAGAAAGAAAGAAATGAGCATGTATTTACCTCTGGCAAATGCTTTCTCCTTCTAAGTTATATAACTTTAAAATGATTTCGTTTTCCTGTTCAAGGTTTCACAAGAAGCATTGTAGCTGTCTATAGTACCTGTATGCTTGTAGTTCTTCTGCGTGTCCAGTTAAATATTATTGGTGGTTACATATACCTGGATAATGCAGCAGTCTGCAAAAATGGCACAGTAAGTACCTAATTATTTGAAGGGGATATCATTAAGGATGGAAAAAAAATATTTAGTGAGAGATGAAAGAGT